GTCCCTGCAGCTCCTAACACAGATCCCTCTGCAGCTTCCCTGGAGCCCCTTCAGCTCCTGGAAGGTGCTCTGAGGTCTCCACACAACCTTCTCTTCTCCAGGCTCAACAGCCCCAACTCCCTCACCCTGTCTTCATAGGGGAGATGCTCCAGTGCTCTTAGCAACTTGGTGGCCTCCTCTGGACTTGCTCCAACAGTTCCATGTCCCTCTTATGTTGAGTACACCAGAACTGTGTGCAGTATTCCATGTGGGTCTCACCAGAGCAGAACAGAGGGGCAGAATCACTTCCCTTGACCTACTGCCCACACTGCTGTGGATGCAGCCCAGGATTTGATTGCTTTCTGAGCTGCTATAAACCTACCAATACTTACTTAACTAAACACTAATTGCAGAGCAAACACCTAACTCAGAAGTAAACCAGCTCCTTTTGGAAGTGTAGCCAGGTCACTATCATGGGACTCAAGTTCACCAAAAGCTTTGTACATCCTGACAAAGTGCAGGTTTCTAACAGGGTTTGCTGCTTTTGTTTCAGGGTCTGAAGGCCCCATGTGCCTCAGCCTGTTTTTGAGGCACAGAGCTATCAGCTGGGCTAGCACAGGACACTACTGTGCCTGCCAAACATTGTCCTGCTACATCATGAGACTATCGTGTCATGAGACCAGCAGAGCTACAGAAACAAGCTTGTTTTCGAGGCAGGCTGAAATGTGACAAGCTGCTCACCCACCAAGCATCAAACAGCACAGGAACCCTGGAATTGTGTGTTTTCCACACAGCAGTTTGTGTAGGCTACAAAGCAATAACAAGAAATCCCTATGGTTAGGGTGGGTTTTTTTTTTCACTACGAGATATGCAAACTGATGATTTGAATGTGAATGAATCAGCTAAGAAGTTGGCAGAAAGCATCACCTAGCAGTGTTAAGTGTTGGGTTTTGTTTAAGTACTGCAGCTAAACCTGCTGCAGGACACAGGATTTGCAAGACATTCACCTTACAAAATGTGCTGCTGTTGAAGAGGTTGTAGCTATACCTCCCCTAATCTACATTTACGGATCCTTTCCCCCTCCCCTCCATTCATACATGCTCGAGATGTACCTCACTGAGCTGCAGTTCAGAGGTGTAGGGAACATGTATGTGTGCCTGGAGAGGCAAAGGAAAGAGAAAAGGGCAGGAAGGAGCAGATAATTTACATCTATATTTTCAGAAGGATTTAAG